CTCAGCCAATCCACCAATTAGATTGGAAGATTAATGTGATTTTATCCAATGACGAAGTCTTAAAAAGTAACCACCAATTCCTACCAATCCGACCATATTTAGTTGGAATTTTTTCAGAATATGTTGTACTCTTTACAAATATCCATATAGTAGCATATTCTAAAAATATCAGGAAATTTCCAGCCCGAGGTGACGGTTGGCAGCTGTTTCCTAAAAGACATCATTTTGCAGAGCTGTGACCATGTCTATCGCGTCGCTAGCGCCATCTAGCAGTAAGAAGGCCCGGGTGACGGCGATCAACTCGTTCAACACGTTTCTTTCTTCAGAAAACATCACACTAGAGCATGTTCAACAGCTTATCGACGCTGACAAGACCGGTAGGGTACTTCGAATTGTGCTAGATAAATATGCGTATTCTCTTGCTAGATCGACAGACAAAACTCGATCTACCAATACATGTCTAGCCTATTTCGGAAACGTAAAGAACTGGTTGATAGATAAATACCCACAGCAAGGGGGACAGTAAAGCCCCAGCTGCAGAAGATCCTGTCTGGGCTTGGTAAGTACTGTACCAATCGCGAGGACGGGGCTTTTGAAAAGAAAGCTCCACCGTGTTTTAAGCAAGATCTAGAAAATATCGCTCGCCTACTTTATACTTCAGAATCTGCTGAGAGTATCTACCCGGATGCAGCTCTGGTTGTGATGCTGTGGTATTTATACGGACGCAGCTCGGACGCAGAGCAACTTGAAAAAAACCAGCTCTCGATTTTACCTGGTAAGATCATTGACTATTATATTTCTTTATATATTGACAATTACGCGCTAACTGGAACCTTGCAATATGTAGGTGGCGTACTCTTCCAACGCTTTAAGCGGATTAAAACAGCTTTGCTACAAGGTGTGTCCTTGTTCAAGGACCCGACAAGTTTTTTAACTAGTCCACTATTCGTTTTAGCTGCTGCTCTAACCATACAGAATGCGCCAAGCAAGCGTCTATTTCCTCAGTTTACCAGTACAAGGCATATCGGAGCTAATGCTGGCGATGTAGAAGACCTCAGTCTCGTAGAGCTTCTCGAGGCAGACGACAGCCCCGCATCCTTGCCAGACCTGCAACAGTCGCCAGCTACCAGATCGGTTCCTGGTGCACAAGCGTACGTGAACCGATTACTGGTTCGAGTCAAGAACATTGCAGATCAGAAGCAGGTAAAACTCACACAAGGACTTACCTCCCACTCTTTTCGTCGAGGAGCTGCCATGCACGCCAACGATGGAGCTCTTGCAGAAAACTGGATTATAGAGCGGGGCGGTTGGCAGCTTGACCGCGTCAATAAGGCGTTTGGGTACATGTTGGGTACAGCGCAGGCAGATCAGCAAGTTGCGCGTGTCCTGAGCGGATGGAAACCAAAAGAAGGTGCACGTCTTCCTTCGTTGCGTATCTTGGAGCCGCCTATGCTGTTCCGCGCCCAAGCACTGCATGGTCTACTTTTCACGAGCTCCCTGGGCTTTGCAGAGCCTGGCATGAACCTAAACGAAGACGTTGCAGAGGTCTTGTCAGCCACCCTCATCATGCACTACCCCGACATGCTGCTGCTCTCACGCGAAGAAGCACTGGTTGCCCGCATTCGGGCGGCCATGTTAGCACGGGCCATCGGGGAAGCGGAAGTACTTGCATGGAGCAGCACAATCCGCCGTGCTTTCATGCCACCATCAGCGATAATTAAGCCCAGCGTTAGCGACTCTCACTCTGCTGAGGTGTTAAGCCTCATGAAGCGCCAGTCCGAGCAGATCAGCGTTTTAATCCTGCAAAATCAGCGCCTAGAGGAGCGACTGTTAGCTGTAGAGGCGAAATTGCACTCACCGTCGGCTCCAGCCAAACCTGTTGCGGGTTGTGTATCACAGCCTGGCCAACAAATTGCCATCCGAACTGTTCGTCCGAAGAAGAAGGGCTCGCAGTCTCTTGCAGCAGTCTGGTTCGAATGGTTTACGGCCGAGCCCCGCGTTTATGCCTCGCGCTCTGTGAAGAAAACGACGCTGTACGAGCTTAGACATTCCGCAGGCTAGATGATGCTTTTCTTACCCCATGGATTTTCACTTGATGCTTCGTCTCCTGCGTTCAAGAGTGAGGTGGTCGCGCTTGGTGAGAAAGCGCAAGTGAGCACGCGGGACTTCTTGAAGACGAACGGGTCCCCAGCAGCAGCAGCGGGTACGGCACTGAAAGCCCTTCGCAATCTACACAAGGCTGGAAAGCTTGACGCACATATAACCCAGTTCCACGAGCGTGCTGAGCGTGGTGACGTTGTTGATCCAACACCACCTTCGGCGCTGTCAAAATTCATTCGTAACAAGCCCCCCCCCAAGCGCTGAACCTGTAGTACACATAGTACAGTTAAGTAACAGCACCAGATCTCACCTTACACTTTGAACTGTATAATTCCTGGCAATAGATAACAGCTTCCGCACTAACGCATCTTTTTATATTACAAACAAAGCTGCAACAGCAAGTTAGAAACGACATGCTCACTTATGTTATGCAGCAGCAAAAACTTACCATATTTAATAGGTACTGTGGCCTCGATGTAGGTCGTAGATAGTCTTCGGCCGCATCCAGCAGCATTCCGCTCACCCTTACGGGTTATTTCACTTCACATGATTCATCTACGGGGACGGCAACGGCGGGAGTAGTGTGGCGTGAGTCCCTGGTAGTGATGCCGCGCGCGTAGAGGTGCGACCGAGGCCTTGAGGTCGCAGGAGGGCCGTAGAATTGCGCTCCGCCCTCACCGCTGCGCGCGCGTGGCCGTGGTTTGTAGAATGGCTGTGGGCCCCCAGAGAGAAGAATTTTTTAATTTTGTTTTTATTATGTGTAACACATGTACCGCGCAAAGTCCGATTTTTAACTGGCAGATCGTACCGGTATCAGGTTGGAACCCGGTCGGACAGTTGGAATTTTGACGGTATGGGCGCCTGATTTAGCTGCTGTCTTTCCACTTCTGCGACTGCTTGTCTCTTGACCGACAGCGTGTAAAGCTTCTGATAGTTGGTACGAATGTGCTTATACGTAACCAACTCTAGCATTCCCTTGACCACGTCACTTAACATTGTCAGCGAGAGGTTATCCAAGCCGCGTAATCCTCGTCCTCCTTGCTCCCCGTCCTAGCTTTCATTTTCCGCTATGAATCGCAAATAGGTGGAACTAAGTAGCCACTCGACTACAGTGTAAGAATTACGGTAAAATCAATGTATCTCAATGATTTATATATCAATTTGAAGTGTCTTTCAATGATTTTGTAAGAAAATTTAGTTAAATTTCGGGTGATAATGAATACAAGTACACGCGGAAAATATAGACGAAAAATCCTTTTTCACCATTTTTTCTTCCAATCTCAAGCTCTTTCCAAATGAATTTTAGCCAATACAAAGCTCGTAAAAACGATTCGTTTGCGGTGCTTCTTGCCTTTATCCGACAACTGACACTCGAGATACAGCCCATTAACTGACCTCGACTTAGTGTGCAAAGCGCGAAAATGATAGACGAAGTACTAAGTGATGCCTAGATGAGCGAGATTCAAGCGGAAAATGGTTGATGTAGGTGTACTAGTACTTGGGCTTGAGCCCTTCGAGGCGGTAGACCTCCATGCAACGCTTTTTCATCGATTGAACCAGGTTTTCCAGAGTCGACACCGGAATGGCAGCCCGCGCTTTCTTGATAGCCTTTACAAGCTCCATCTTAGTGTCATACTGCTTTCCGTTCACGTATACTGCTCTAGCAAGGATACCCCACAGGTTTTCAATAGGATTTAGGTCTGGTGACTTCGCAGGCCACCACATCACACGCACATCCAGGTTTTCCAAATACCATTTAGCTACTCTGGCCGTATGAATCGACGCATTATCGTGCTGAAATTAAAAATCCAAGCCGTGATAAAGGTGCGCAAACGGGAATAGGTAGTCACCCAATGTGTCAATGTACTTCTCTGCGTTCTGCTTGCCCTCCAGAAACGCCAACTCGGACTTACCTTTGACACTAAAGGCGCCCCAAACGAACACGCTGCCTCCACCGGACTAACGGTTCGAATAAATTTGCTTCTCTTTTCTTAGATCTCTCGAATAGTACTGGTATTCATCGGGTCCGTCTAAATTAAACTTTTCCTCATCTGAGAACACCACAGAGTTCCAGCTGCGGCCATGCTCCACATGCTGTTCGGCCCACTTCAGTCTGTTCGTAATGTGCTCGGGTTTGAGCACTGGACATGCAATCCGCTTCTCATGCACCATATTCTTTGAGTCGTGCAGCACTTCCTGTACGCTACGAACAGAGATAGGTAGCTGTAACGAATCTTTTAGAGCTCTAGCGCTTACACCAGTCTTAGATGCCTCACGAAGCAGCCGACGCTCGGCAGTAGGCGTCAGCTTCTTCGGCCTACCAAGACTTTTTTTCGTGCCGTACGTCTCTGGGTTGCTTAAAAAGCTGTGCACAACCTTCCACGAGCGACCGATGCGCTTCGCAATAGCATTTTCCTTTTGGTGTTCCTCCTTCAGCGCCAAAATTTGACCTTTCTCGAAGTCTGTCAGTGGTTTGCCTCGCCCCATCTAAATTAACAAACGTTTTGGCAAATAAAAACGTGTAGAGGTTTGTCAATGCCCTCTCTCTGGTGTGCATTGAGCTGCACTCCCCCAGACCCCTTCAAAGAGTTATAAATGTCTTCCTTACCCACTTCGTCTATGTTTTCCGCGCTGCACCTACGCAGCCAAAGGCAATTTTTTGAGAGAATCTCGAGTGTCAGTTGTCGGATAGAGGCAAGAAGCACCGCAAACGAATCGTTTTAACGTGCTATTTATTGGCTAAAATTCATTTGGAAAGAGCTTGAGATTGGAAGAAAAAATGGTGAAAAACGATTTTTCGTCTATATTTTCCGCGTGCATTCGAAGTATCAATTAGGTGTATTTAAATGTATTACGATAGCTTCCCCCATTTCAACCGGATAACGGATACCGTGGACGCCATGGCGACGGCCTCGGGCCAGGCGACGCAAGCGCGCTCCATCGTGACAATAGATGGGTACGTGAGTCGCGGAAGGGCTCCACCCGATTCTGTGCCTCGAGATCACGCTATGCTGCAAGATTTCGCTGCGTATCTGGAGCAGCGCCTCAAGTGTGTGAACATGTTGATGCTGCGTCGCATCTTTGCCGATTTCCTTAACGAACACGAGAACACGTTGGTCCCCATGATGCAACACGGCTGTACCATCATCACCATGTACCCGGTGCTGAGCACCAGCTTCCAGAGACGTCGTGAAGCGGCACTTCTCCTTGCCAAACCAAAGCATCATCTGGACACTCGTGGGTGCGTCTTCCTGTATCTACAGCAGCGCGCAGCCACACGGAACATGGCGCTACTTAAGAATTTATTTCTTGAGTTCGTGTACAAACGGGAGACGTCGCTAATGGCGTTCGTGGAGAGAGGGTGCCAAGTGATCAGTGTCATCCCCTTTGAACTGCCGCAGATGACGCAGCTGCCACCGCCTCCAGCACCTCAAGAATATCCTTGCGTCGTGGAGAATGCAACTGAGCGGCCGCAAGCTGCGTCGGAGTCTGTGGCGAAGACGAACACAAAGAAACGGAAGCGCAAGACGGTGCAAAAGCCGTCGACAGCAGTAGCTTCGACGCCCGTCGTTGCAGATGAAGTAGCTCCCTTGGTCACCCAGAAGAAGACGAAAGGGAAACAGAAACAAGCTGGGAGTCGGGTGCAGCAGACACCATCCGACACTCGTGCTGGAGCGGAGGTTTCGACCAAGCGTAGACGCACAACCAGCAAGAATGCTAGTGTGGCACCAGCCTCTAGTCCTGTTAAACTGGCCCCAAAGCGCGCTAGACAGACAAAGGAAACTACGAAGTCACTGCAGCAAACAGCCTCTGTTGCTGCAACGGAACGTGACTCTGTTGGGACAGAGGCCTCTGCACTTTCTACTATCTCGAAACCAAAGCGCGGCAAAAAGATGAAGACTAGAACTACGTCGTCGAAGGATGCTACGTCTACAGCTGTACCGGAATCGGTCGGATCGGATGTGACGAAAGCTTCAAAGACTTCAAAGCGTAGAAGAAAGTCGAAAGCAACACAAGATGCAGTTTCTGAAGCCACAACGGAAGCTGTCAAACCTGCCGTGCCTCAAACTCTACCACCCGTAACCAAGAGCTGCAGGAAGTCAAAGACTAGCAAAGTGCCCATGCAGGCTCTTGTCTCTGCAGCCGTATCGGATTCGGCCCGCCGACTCCGAAGAGCGGAAGAAAGTCAAAGACCAGCACTTTATCGCTGCAAGATGAGGTCTCTGCAGCTACGGATACTACGTCATCAGCTAAGCCCAAGCGCGACAGGAAGGCTAAAACCCGCCCGACGCAACAACAGGAGGCAGCCTCTGTACCACAACTGGTGGAATCTGTCGTGAAAGACGCTCTAACGACCGGTGCTAAGTCGCCCTCGAAGCATGTGAGAATGACAAGGGCTAGCACAGCAGTGGGACAGGCTGCAGCCGCAGTCGAATCAACCACGACGGAAGCTGCCCCAGCCACAAAGAGAGTGAGAAAGCCAAAGTCTACTGAGATGTCATTTCAAGATGCAGAGTCGGTAGCTGCAGCGCCACCTGCGGAGCCCGCTTCAATGGAGATTTCGAAGGCTACCCGGAAGCGTGGCCGACCATCCAAGATAAGTACTGTGTCACCACAGGATACAACACCTGTAGACCCAGTCGACCCTGTTGTTACAGAGCCTGGTAAGTCAACTCCGAAGCGTGTGAGAAAGCCAAGGACTGGCACTGCGTCACCACGAAAAGATGCTACCTCTGTGGCTGCAACGGCAGCGTTGGAGTCTGTCGTGACACAAGTTGTGTTACTTAAATCGCCTCCAAAGCGTCGAGACAAGTCAAAGGTTACAAAGGTGTCCGCCTCAAAGACGAACATTGCAAAAGCAACTCAGAAACGTGGCCGAAAACCGAAATCTATCGCTGCGTCACTACAAGATACAGCCGCTGCCACAACGGAAATGGGAGATGCAGTTTCAGTGTCTGCAACCGAACCAATCGAGCCTCCGAATACAACTTCAGTCACCGCCGTAGCCACGCCGGAAGTGGTGAACGCTGTCGTGACAGACGCTCAACCTGCTGCTATGTCGACTCCAAAGCGTAGTAAGGAGTCAAAGACACAGACTGCAGTCGCTACAACCACGTCGGACACTGTAAAGCCTACCGTGAAACGGGGTAGAACGCCGAAGAATAGTACTACGCTACTGCAAGATGTCGTAGCCACGACTGCAATGACGGAAGCAGTCACGATAGACGCCCCGCCGCCCACTACAAAACCAACTCCAAAGCGCAGGAAGAGGCCACCAACGCGCACTTTACCACAGCAAGAAGAAGCTACAACAACCATCACGGAAGTGGTCCAGTCTGTCCTAAACGACCTTGTATCTCGGGTTTCCGGTGAGTTCTCGCTCCCCACACGACGTCGGAAACGCAAGATCGACGTAGAAAAAATAATATCTAGTGAAGGATCCAAAGAAAAGTCACGAAAGCGACTCAAGTCAGCCAATGACAAACCAGCAAAGCGAGGGAAACCAGTCATGAGTGAAGAAATGTGTCGCAGTCAGCGGGAATTGGCACGCAAGATGGAGAACTTCGAGGCCCAAACACCGTGGCAAGCAGCCTACAGCAACGTGTCGCCTCCATTTGACGAGGAAAAACACCCTGCACTTGCCAAAACGCTCCGCACTTTTTGGCTCAGACACTCGCGCGCTGTGTGGGGGCGCAACTTCTGGGGCCCCATGTCTCGCAAGCTCAATCCCGCCGAGTTCAACAAACGCAACAATCGTCAGCTCAGAGCCAAGACGGCGTTCGAGTCGCTCATTGTTTCTGCGCACGAGGAGCTTGGAGCGGCGTTTTTCGTCTCGTTGGACTCGCAGAAGCCACGACATCCTGGCTGGTGGTATCGTGGCCCCATGGTGGCTCTGTTCGCGCTGCAACAGATCAAGGGCGAGGAGGCAGTGTGGAGCTACGTCATGAACGAAGCTCGTCACCGCTTCCCAGACTGCAACCTGCCTCTGCCTCTGGCAGCTTCGAATTCTGGCGCAATGCGGGTCCGCCACAAGCGGGAGAGTGCGTCTATGTGGGTTGGCAACCACCAGCAAACAGCCGGAATTCTGGAAGAGATGGCTGCACTTCTTAACGCACAGAGGGAAGTGGGTGAAGCGACAATGGAAGCTGGTAGTGCGGCAATGGGTTCGGTCGTCGTGTAGATGTTTGTATTGACCAGTACTGAACAAAGAGTGCAGGTCGTTGAAGTGGATCAGCCTATAAGAAAACATAGTATTGGGACGTTCTGTACATATGGTTTGGGTTTTCTGTATATGGTGTAACAACTTTGTGATGACCGTACTTACACAGGATCATTTCTATAGTACCTTCTTTTCTACTTGACTTTCCTCGTAGACAATCTCAATAACTTTGATGATCGTATTCGACTTCATTCATTGACTCGGGATGTCGGTGGCTGCAGTGCTGGGTTCTCTTTTGAACTTGGTCTCCCCCATTGATGAACGTCCGCTGTCGCTATTCCAAGGCAGCGTGAGTGAGTGGAGTGATATGAGAAGTTATTGATATCTTTTTTTTAAGAACTATTTTTTTTAATTTCTCCCAAAAATATTAATTTAGCAGTATTAAATTATGTATTCACAGCTAAAACAATACCTAACCTGCAAAATATGTGTCGCGAGCCCTTGTAACGCATACTCACAGAGAAAAAAATTATACATCAGTATATGTAAATCGATGCCGTCTTTTCTCGTCGCGCTTAGCACCAATCTGTGTCTGATGATATTTAGGTATTTTGCTCATTATGAAATCTGCTGAAAATGATGGAATGCTGGCGTAAAGTACTGCATTACTACGGAGTATTATCTAAATAAGTACTTATAAAAGAAATGTATAGCGTACTTTAGTCGTTGCAAACGCTGTCTCCGAATACGCGGACTCGTTGTGCGATGTTAAACCGCAAAGTGATGTCAAATCAAACATGGAATGGAACACTTCCAAGAATTAAAAAAAATCACAAATGGTCCGCAGAATGCTTAAATTTAGACGTTGATGTGGATTACTCGTGTACTTGATAGCCGGTCGCCGTGGCATTGCATTCAGCCGAGCCCTAAAATTTCCAAGCTAGCTGTCAATGGTCACGGACTACGCGGGAGAAGAAGCAAAGGTCGCCGTGGCATTGCATTCAGCCGAACCCTAAAATTTCCAAGTTAGTTGTCAATGGTCACGGACTACGCGGGAGAAGAAGTGAACTTTCGACCACAGCTACCGTCTTGATGGCATCGCAAATTTACATGAACGGGCGAGCATCTGGTCGGTTGACGACCACCGACACGCGTTTGCTTATAATGGCTTGTAATCGGTATGGCGAGCAAGCTCGGCGTTGTTGGTGCAGTGTTCCGAGGTCCAGCCGTCACACGTGATGCCAAACTTGTCGCCCATATCCACAGCAATCCGCTCTTCCACCGTAGCAGAAAGGCGAGTGCTCGGATGCGAGAGCTTATAACGGGGAAATGCTTTTCCAAACTCAAACAAAATAGGTGTGACTACAAATCTGTGCCCCTACCTGAACTTCGTTGGACCGGCTGTAATCGGATGCTGCAGCACTTTGAAGTCTACCTCCCTTCTCTGCACCTTGTCCAAGCCGAAGCCGGGGTGGAACAAAGTCTTCGCTTACATACTGTCGATGACGAGCTTTGTGTCGTCAGTTTGGTCGATCTTATACCGTCTGGGAGTGAACAGAGAAATTATGTACTTTTCTGGATGAAATAACGACATTCGACGTTATCACAGAAAAATTACACCGCGATGACATGACTGTAGCAAGTGTCTGCGATATATTTGACGCTGTTCTGGATGATTATGACGGCATGGGGAAGTACCTGACGGTAGACGCTGATATTGTTGAATTTCCCGCGTTTGAAAGTGGGCTGGCAAACGTCCAAGTCAACGTCGATTCAAGGCTAAATTGAAACGAAAGGAAGATGTTAAGTCGGCAAGCTCAACCTCAAACAGCTATTCCGCTTTTGCCGACGCCAAAACGTCGACGAGGAAACGTATAGCTGGAGCGCTGGAAGAAAAGATCAATAAAAAGGCTCACATGGATTATAGGCCACGGTCGAAGCTCATCGATACAGCTGGATTGCTCCAACATCTGTTGCTGCTGGGCGAATTGTTTTAACGGTCAGCAGCACCATAGGATACTGAGGAAACGTCTGATCAAAGAGACACTCAAAATTATCTTGTTCTTGAAGATGAACTGGGATCTAGTACACTTGTAAATGTGTCGAAGGCAATCGACCTATCCAAGCCTAGCAAAAACTAGCGTACAAGGGTAGGCTTTGTCAATCGATTGCAGTCTCAAGTTGATTGATTGTTGAGATTGCAATCATTGATTGTTTACGATCGATTATTTTAATCAATAAACAATACATAGTTCCACAGCTCTGCTCGCAGCTGTCCAAACGTACGATAGCGCCAGGTACGCTCAACAAATACACACTGAATCAATGCAAGCTATTCGAGTATCATAATTGAATTCTTGTTGTGAAATCTTTGCTATCATCGATCACGTATTTAGCAGTAAGGCTTTATAAAGACTTCTTACATCACGTACGTCGCCGACACAAAATTGGATTCTCAGTTATTAGTCGTAAATGCCGGTTCTTCGACTCGAGGTCTTATTCCTGAATTTAGAAATAGGGATGTTACGAAACGTTTTATGTAAAAAATAATTTGAACTTATCAGGATACAGAATTCCGACGAGGCACAAAAAACTCAGTAAAGACTCAAGAGTCTCAAAAGTTTAATTGAGTTTGTCTACTCACACCAACATCATTAAAAAGATCACTGCAGTCTCCAAAGTTTCAAGGCGAAACTTTGATTGTATACAGCTGCTTTTGATGACAATACAAACTAAACGCATCTTTTAATTAATTCCCGATCAACCTGTCGATGGCGAACGTGATACAATAGCTGTCCGGTGATGGCGGCTGACCGTATCTATTAGACTGCGATATTCGCAGCTAACAGTACTTCAATTCACGTACACGGCTCTGATATGACAGGATTTTGCTAGTAAAGCCTTTAAAAGTCAAGCTCAATACTTGACGCTGTCAGATTTTGACTCTAACTGCTTTTAACTACCAGTCATGCCTACTTAAGAATGGACATTCTGGGTTTCAAGCCATAAGATTCTCCAGAATGTTTTGTTTGGGAGCTGCCATACCAAAATTTATCGGACCATCGGACCTGTACCTCAAAGCTGGTACAAAGTGCAAAAACAATACGAACGACAATACGAACACTTCTGAATGTACATTTTACTGATAGCTGCTGTACTGCGTGGGGATAGGGGAGACACCCCGAGATAAGGAGAAACTTCAGAGAGACTTTCAACCATGTTTATAGGCGCAAGGAAATGGCCTGAAACCGCCTGTGGGCTGATAAAAGCTTTAAAAAAAACATGCATTTTGCAACCAGAAGCCATGTGCTCTTAGTCTGGTAAATTCAACAATAAGCCGCCGGTTTTCGTGCCGAGGTCCACTATTAAGAGCACCAACGACAGCCAGTTACAGATGTATGCACTAGTTGGCCGATTTTTCACCAATCCTATCCTACCACCTAAATATGTTTAGACTCGCACACAGCCTGTGGCTCACAGCCTAGCAGAGCTCAAAACACACAAAACTGGCCCCGACAACGAGACCTCAACGCTCAGTCTTACCTTTTTCGCCCAACTACGCAGACCTCCAACTCGACCGCTTAAGCCCCACAGCTCAGGCTGTCGGCCAATCAAGAATTGCTCCTCAGCCCTTCCCTCCCCCTCCACCCCACCCGCCCACCCACACACCCACCTCCCCCACCCCACCCCTCACCCAACGACGACGTAGCTCAGTGGAAGAGCACAGGGTTATGCCTTGAGGACGCTGGTTCAAATCCAGCCGTCGTCATTTTATTTATTGTGGGGTGGCGGCTCGTGGCTGAAAACGTGGTGCTCTATCTGCTTAGGTATCTGGGTTAAGTAAGATGTGGTTACGCTATGTGCGTTATGGCAAACGTGTATGATGAATTTGCTAGCTATGCATTTCTGTTGCTAATCCTAAACTTCTAAAACGTCTCAGGTGTAGACAGGAGCGGGGTTGCGAATGGATGCAGACTGGAGGTGTTTTTGGTGGAGCTTGATTCTGTCGTATAGGTCTCCTTTGCTGTGAATAGCCTGCAAATGCTTATGGACGGCGCTCGACCCACGCGAGCTGATCTTCTTCTCGCCATCCAAGAAGGCAAGTACGGCTTTCTCTGCTTTCTTGCCCACCTCAAGCACACATTCACGATAGTCGTCAGCATCTTGGACAAGAACAAAGCCATCCTGAAGAAAAAGCTTCATGAAGGTCACCAGCAACTTCGCTCTCGACCGCTTTTGTTTTGACGTCAGTGCGTACCAGCGTAGATCTTGAGCGTACCAGCAAACCAGGTCACATGAAGGTGAATTGGAGATCCCCGGCGTTGTTTCTTGCTCAGCGTGCTAACTTCATCTGAGCCTTCATCTGAACAGCTTCGCTTTTTTGGTGTAGGCTTGCTGTTTTGCTTAGCTTTGAGTGCATCTATGCGAGCGTTCTGTCGCTTGATGTGCTCCATAAAATGCTTGATCACGGCCGCTTGGTGGTCGATGGTCTTCTGGTTCTCGCTTGATTCTCTTGGCTGCTCATCGTCGTTGTGAGTGGCTGCATTACTTGTTTTGGTGTCCTCACAGGTAGTGATGGGGTTGCCAGGTGCGAGGGCCGGGCAAGCAGCTCAGCTGGTGAGAATCCAGCGTGATCAACAGCCGCTTCGATGCGCTTCACAGCTGGACGTGTGGGGTTCAGGTCCTTAAGTAGCGGGAAGTGACGGAAGACGCGTGCGGTGACGACACCCATTACCTTCTTCTGTCGGTCTTGAGCTGAAAGCCGGTAGCGAACAGGACACGCTGCACCCGATTCATCGCTTCACGCGTCTGTGTATCGAAGCCAGTCAAGTCTTGCAGCGGCACCGCGGTTCTGGGTTTGTATCCGCTGCGTACTTTCGCTATCTTGTGGCCTTTCTTGCTTGTATTGTAAATGTAATTGAACCCTTGTTCGTCGTGCTTAGATTTCAGGTGTCTCTGTCAAAGATCCAGCGTGCAGTAATCTCGTCACAGCCGTTTACGTACTGAGCGCCTCCTCTTCG